TCATTGAATGGCACGGTCCCCTTTTGTTCGACAACCAATGTGATAGTCGAATCGGAGCTTCCAAACATTTACACGCAACAAGACAAAATATATTTCTTAATTCCATTACTTATTATAACTTTATTTTCAAATAAACTTCTACATTTCAATTTACTTAATACGTATTGAGTTATGTTTTAACAATATAATTAGTTCATCTTCTGAGTTTTTTCCTGGTCCGTGTACTATTCAACTGAACAAGTAAACTTTATTCCGTGATTCTACAACAGAATATACTTTCTCAAATTATTAGTATCTGTACCGTGTTATTATAATATTATTCTTTCATTCTAATACTACCACTCCTTTGAAGAGCTTCACAAAGTATATGTTTCATGATTTCGAATATTCAAAAGTTTAAATGAAAGTTACTTCCTGACATTGCATTCATTGCGTTCTTCTTTCTCCTTCCAAAAAGGTTTTAATTTTTTTCGATGAGCATTGAAACACCATAATTTAGACTTCTCAGTTCGTCGACCACAGATTAAATTGACAATTACTCGAAAAATACCAGTATTTAAGATACACTTTTGGGAAATAGTTTTATTAAGAAACAAGTTATGGTACAATATCACATACTTTCACGTACTATTGGTAATGGTTACATAATATTAAATTATTGAAATTTCTTTTCTTACACTCCAAAGACTACTTAGCCTTCAGAGGATCTTCAACAAGAAAATGGGAAGAGTAAATGAGAACAGTGATTTTTCTAGAAGCTTAGTGGTAGAATATTAGAAAGATGGGGAAATTAGGCAGCGTAAAAAGGTTTCTTCAATGTGTAACTAATAATTTATTGATGGAAAGAGTTTGAAATACTTCATGTGATGTTTAAAGAAAAAACGTATACCTAATATACCTAACGTATCACAATAATTGAAATCAAGTACACATATCATTAAAATATTACGCAATACAAAACGAATATCTTCATTTTCATTTTTAAATGCATTACTTTGTCATTCGTTTGTATGCATTGCATATCACTCGTTTGTATGCAATTGTTTCGAATCTCTTGTTTGTGATTTATGGAATACTAATTTGTTTTCGTTTCCATTTTGCAGCAAAGGCGTATGCTTCCGCTGTGTGGTCATTCATGAGAAGCATATCAACGTGTTGCAGTATAAGGAAAGTAAGTATATTCCCATCTGACTAAAGTCGCAGGTTTAGTGTAAATCTCTGAAATAGTTTCATGGTTTGGAGGAAATTAATGTAGTATTATTAAGCGTCCAAGTGGTTTTGTTTTCTAAATTACGAGTATTTATTCTAGCTAATGAATGAAATCGTAATAATAACCGATCAAAGAAATGAATGTTAGAAATGTATACAATTTAATGTTTAAGAAGAGTATATTAGTGAGGACGAACGTTATAGTAAAGTGAATTTCGTATTTCATTCCTCTTCTTCCTTAAGAAAATATGGAAGTTTCCAAAAACTACCCGTAAAAGCAGGAAAAGCCACAGTCTTTAAACTATGTTTAAAGTATTGAAAAGTTTTAATTGTCTTGTGTAATAATTTCCTCAAAATTACGTCTCATTTGAGATCATCGAGAAACAATGCGAAACTAGAAAACGAGATTTAACAATAAAATTTTCTGTTGACGGTTGCATTGCTCAAGCACAAAGTCAAATGATGTATTTGTGTTGAGTGATAAGTGAATACGAAGTCTGCTAAATTGCAAACGTCATTCACATGAACTGACCAGTTCTATGCATATCGCTTGCATTAAATATGTAATTATAAATGGCAAATAAATTTATTTTATTCACTAGGTTGTCCTCTTAAACTTAAGAAATTAATAATGGGAATTTCTATGTCTTCTTGTTTTTTTTAAAAGGATGATTATTAGTTGTGGATTAAAATTACTTCCCGTCAACTGATAATGTCAAACTTCACAAAATATGCATTCCAAATATCTTTCTTCTAGTAAAACTCTGCATACCGCCGAGGCGAAACACGAAGTTTCGGAATATTTTATTAAGTCACGCAAATGAGAACGGGACTTTAGATATCAGGGCAGCGTAATATGGTAAACTGGGACGGAAACAAGAATCCCCGTGGCGCTCCATTCCGAAGCGGCTGTATTTCCTGGCGAAGGCAGCGGTAGGCAGACGGCCCGCTTGGAAACGGCTCACCGACCTGGAGGAGCGCAATATCAATTTGGTCGAATGTCTGTTCCACCCGGCGACCCTGATGCCACGGAACGCCCGCGCGCCCTGCACACCTCACCCCCCCTTCACCCTCCCCGCCCCACAGTTCTCCCCACATCCTCTCCCGCACGACAACGCCCAAACCCGCCTCTTTCCCGCTCCCTCCTCATCCACCCATTTTTCACCGCCCATTCTTGCCCCACTCATTCCTTCTCCGCCCACTCCTACAGAATTTATTCCCCTGCTTCATATCCGCAACCCCTCCCATTCTGCCACCCTGTCCTCTTCCTCTTGCATTACTCCCCTTTAGCCGCGTAGCTCGCTCTGCTCGCACAGATATGCCCCTTCTGCCCCTCCCCTTCTCGATTGTCTCCGCCTTTCTGTATCGCTCGCCTAATCTCAACTCATCCTACTTCGTTCCACGCAGACCCCGCCTCGCTCTTCCCGGTCCGACGTAACCCGACTCGTCCCATCCAAGCGTTACTCCGCTTAACAACCACCCCGCCCAACTTTTCTCTTCAATCTTCACCTTACTACAACCCCGACTCTACATTCCCTCCTCAACCCTCAAATATCATTCCGTCTCAAGCCAAATTCCGAACATAGAGTTCATCCTCGTCTTCTACTCGGTACATACGCATTCCTGCTTCACCTGCCACGTGAAAGTACTCCATTTCCAAGCAACAGCCTTGTCACTCATTCCTCCTGCGGTACTCTCCATACCAAGCGCACTTCCCCTCTTCATTTCCCTCCCTCCCTCCGTAGCCAGCTGAAGCTCCCATTTTCCGACGCGCCTGTCCCGTTTTTTCACTCGCTATGCCCGTGTTCACTCGCTGCTCGGCGAATTAGCTCGGAAGTGGCAGCGGCGGGCGGCGTGGGTGTGAACTGTGGCGGTCGCAGGGGGGGGGGGGCAGACGCTGGGGCGGCTGCGCCACGGTCGACCACACCGCACGGTTCTTGACGGCGACTCCGACAGCAAGTGTGGGTCCACCCTGACTGTCGAGGGTGGGTGGTGGGGGGGTGGGGGGGGGCTGGGCGTCAGGGATGATACGGCGGAAGCTCCCGCGATGATGGGAGGGAGACGGGATGAGAGAGCCGACCACGACCGCTTGTAAACCTGAAAAACATTGCTTCAACTCCTTGGGATTACACGCTCACGTGCGGTGTTTACTGCACGAGGCGCGTGGCAATTGTTGAGAACGGTGCAAAACGCGGTGGTTTTGGGTTCAGTTTATTCTGTCTAAGGGGTTGGTAATATTGACTCGGGAAGCGAGAGAAGCTGTTGCTTAATAGATAGGTTTCCTGTTATATTGTCTGGTTTTTGTGGATGAGTTATAAATTTTATTAGTGCTTGAAAAAGGATAACGTGTTCCCAGCACATCAGAAAAAAAAAGTTTTTTTCTTAAGTTAATTAAACACTTTTGGATTTACAAATGCGCCATTATGAGTTAAAAAAAAGTTAACATATTAATATTTTATAATCAAAAACATGGCGATTGATAAAGATTAGCTTATTCTTAAATTTTCATTTGCACTTTAAAATTTAGACTTAAGAGAATACGAACCTGGAAATAGTAAATAGTTTATCTCATTTATTTTAAAATTTACAATATTTGTATCCTTTTTGCTTGACAGTAACTATGCCGTTTCTAATATCCACTTCAGTGAGGAGGTTGTGTCCCGGTTGGGGCGGTTCTCTTTTGAAGGAGCTTGATGTTGAAACCCTACAAGCCGACGAGTACTCGAATTCAGCCGCTGTCTGGAGGAAAATTCTAGCAGCCGGCTGATTGTTCTATCACCTCCATTTACAATCACATCCACTTACATGCACAACATTACCACACATGTCGGGACACCATTCAGGAGCTTTGAGCTTGTCCAGGCTGGGGTGATGTCTCCCTCGGTGGAGATACGTGCCGGGGAAATCCCCCGCAAGCCAACGTGTCGCTGTCGGGTCTCACCATCTAGCGGGGGTGCACACAGCCACTTGCGATAAAACATATTGCACTAACGGGATCAATGGCCATAGCTGTTGACCTTCCTGGTGACAGATCTCACGTTCTGGGGGGGGGGGCACACGATCACTTCTTCGGATATTATCATGCTCACAGTACGTTGAACTTATGGGCTGGTGTGCCCAGAGAAAACCAGGGGCTGGGGCAATTGATCCATTGATGCCCTTTATTTCAAACAAAAAATTACTTCCTAACCCAATTCATTAACAGAATTCCTTTCTCCATGCATCAAACTTAGTGTTAAATTTGGATTAGAGATAAATATATTTTTTCACTTCTTTTAAATGAAAAAAAAGCCATTGATGCTCCTTATTTTAAACAAAAATTCCTTCCTCACCCAATTCATTAACAGATTTCATTTCTCCATGGATCAACTTACAGCTTTAAATTTGGGTTAGAGATAAATATATTTCTTTTAAATGGAAACAAATATTCGGAACCTGGGGCAAGTTTCCCCACCGGGTCTAATGACCTAAGCCCTGGATGGGCGCGGACTGAGCGCTGCTTGCGTGTGCCGCAGCGTTCTGCCACCCGCGCGAGTCGCTGCCGACGCTGTGCTCGCTCATCACGGGCGACGCGCTGCTCTACTCCATGTTCCGCGTGGACGCCGCACCGGTCGTCTGCCCCTTCCGCGGGCCCTTCACCTTCACGTACAACCGCGGCCACGGCGAGTGCGCGTCGCCCGTCTCCAGCATCGACTCGTGCACTGAGGACTCGCGCCTGCTGCTGCGCTACCAGGCGTGCCCCGACGTGCACGGCACCGAGAGCACCGGTCAGTACTGCCAGCGGCTTGCGCGCCGTGTTTCCTCGGAAAACAACGAAACTTCGAAAATAAACTCTTAAGACAATTTTAAACATATTTTATCTAATACAATATTTCAATATTTACCTATCCGGTGGTCGAGATCGCTTAGGCAATAGTGCCGTAGCGATCTCCAACCGAAGGATCGCGGGTTCGAGTCCCGCCTCGAGCATGGTTGTATTGTGTTCATCCTTTCACACCCCTATCATCATCATTATCGTGTCATCCTCACAGTTACCATACCGTTACACACAATAGTGGTCGCTAATGGCCTAGTAGTTGATGCGACTTTAAATAACAAGAAAAAAATCAATATTTCAGATTGTTGAGCAGCCATTAGCACTCAAAAGTTGGTTTAAAAAGTACTATCTATGCAACAATTTGCATCGTAGAAACACTCCAGAAAACATGCAAACTGTTTATTATTTACAAAATAAATCAGTATATTTGTTTATAAAGAAAAAATATTACGGAAATAAAAATGTACCCTATGTACACAATTCGATGGCTTTTTTAATTTCTGTGCCAATTTTTCTTTGAAAAACTATATATTCATTTCTTAAAATTGTCTAATTTTGGAAGTTTCGTTGTTTCCCCCTGGACATTCTGTATTTGTCATTTTATCTTGAAATATTTCTCTTATTTTCACTTCGTCTTTCTCTTCATTTTCCTCTCACATTTCGTTATCTTCCGTTTCCTCCTCCTTGCTCGTACTCCTCAAGGTCCTCTCATCTGCCTGTTTCATCTTTCCTATCACTCATTCCCTGATTTCCTCTAAATGTGTGTCTTTTTCTTATTACCCTGCAACATCCTTACTTTCTTCTCCCCTCCTTTATTTTTCACTTTCTCGCTGCCGCCTCTGTGATCGTAAACATTTGGTTTTGCCTGTGGTTTACGATTTATTTCCAAAATAACCCTTTTTGTTATTAAAGAAAATATGTTTTATACACAGAAAATTTAATAATGTGGTGGGATCTATTCATGAGAACGGACCACGTATTGATACATCTTATTGTTACTTTACATAACCATGATGTATGGTTTTCCTCAGACATAGGCATTTTTGCTAAAGTGGGAAAAATACGAGTAGCATTCTTTAAAATAGTTATCAAGTTTCTTGCAGTCATTAAATTCAAAATTATATGTTACATTTCTCTAACGTTTCGGAATTGAAGAAAATTGTATTTTTGTATCAATACGATAAATTAAGAAACGTAGAGTTATTTTTGTTTAATCAACTGACAGGGGCACGAGATTATGAAATTGAGAAATTATAAGAATTTGACACAGGCACATGTCGAAGAAATCGTACTGCGAGAAAAGGTAGGTAGAGGTAATAAGGAAAATTGTTACCTAAAACGCGTTAATTCCAAATTGAGAAGCTATTATAAACGTCTGGAAATTACTGTAGTGACAGGTAATTTAGCGTTCAATAGCTTTTCTGTCAAATCTATATAGTCGTCAGTGAGCAGCAGTCGTAACGACAAACATAATTTCGGAGAGAAAAGTACAGAAACAAAACACATCGATATTTCAGAAATCATTTTTCCTTCTTTCCTAACACGCCGCACATACTTCTCTTACCGTAGAACCCCGACAGTTTCTGGAATTGAATGTCGCTAGCGAGCGTGAGCCTGTCAGTGCAGCCAGTTTTATGACGCACTGCCCCGGCGCGAAATAAACCAAATGACGGTAGCGGCTATCTATTCACGGCGCTGTCGATGTTAAAGAATGGTAGAAGAAGTGAAGAATTAAGTGTCTGTCACTACGAAAGACCTATATTATCCTCTCAACAAGCTTAAATGTCACCTTTCCACTGTGTCGATAAACAGGACACGAACGAGTGGGCGCATTTGTCCCTGTCTCAGCTGTATCGACGGTTGCAGAACGATATGTCACGCGACTCATGATCGAACGACAATTTTTTCGAGCTTTCCTTTCTAATTCAGAAAAAAATATTGCTTTTCATTGATCAAAATAAATTGCTGGAGTATGCTCCCAAGATTTGCTTGACAAATAATTTATTAATTGACTTTATATTCCTCCCATTTTTTAAAAAAAATTGTTGATATGCATCTGTTGCGAGAGTAAGAAAAGTTTCTGCAACAATGGAAACAATTAGTAATATGCGAAAATGTATTTTTTCAAAAGGTGCAAGTAATACCTATTATCTGAAATTAATAGTAAATGCTAGTATCAAAATATTTACAAAAATAGTGTATAAATTAGGATACTAATTTGAGAACATCAATGTTTTAAAATAATAATTTTATATTAAATATCTTAATAAGTCACAAGCTAAAATAAAATAATATTACAAAGTCCTAAATAATCTTCAGAGTATTTTCTTTTTTATCGACGCGTCGGAATTTGTTACAAAATATATCAGACCACCACTAAAGATGATTGACAAGACACATTTGGTATTTTGCCTCGAAACAAAGGGCTCCGTGCCGAAACGTTCACAAAACATTTTTTACTAACTTTCATTAGTAACGAAATATATTCAATATCTTAATTTAACTCAAGTAACAAGTGAAATAACCAGGATGTTTCTGTAGGTATTGGTAAGTGGAGTATTCAGGCGAATTAATGTTTTCTTGTAAAACGTTTTCTCTAATGATGAGTTCAAATTTATTTTTATTTGCTGATTTATAATTATTTATAAAATATTCAGTTGCTTAATTGAATAACTTTTGTTGGTATTGAAAATTAACAAAAAGTATTTTTGTGAATATCTCATTTGCTTTCGGGGGAGGGATAGATTGAACACCCTCCTTTAGGTACGTCTCTGCAAACAACTACAAAAATTAACAAATACAATTAAATTTTAAATGCAGAATAAACGAAAAAATTTTGTTTCGAAAACATTCTGTTGTGTTGATACTACATTCAGTGCTATGCTCCCTTTTAATCATAGTGACACTTCATGGTCACGAGCTGGACGGAGAGAGAGAACACTGTCCAATCGGGAGCATCGTTTTGATTTCAATTTTTGGTATTGGATTGGATGACAATGTTCCCATCTCCTTCCAGATTGAAGTGTCACTGTATTTAAATCTTATTAAAGAAAGATGAAGGCCGGACCGCGTGGCTGATATCGTTAAGGCAGTAGTGCCGTAGCGATCTCGGACTTGTATTTGTGTTCGTCCTTTCATCCTCTATCATCACCTTTTCATGTCATCATCACAGTTACCATACCGTTACACGCAATAGTGATCGCTAATGACTTAGAAGTTGATGGGACCTTAATTTTATTTTTTTAAAAATGAAGGTTGCGCCACTGAAACCAAGCCAAAGAACGGACCGTTCAGTTCAGATCTCGCCTTCTTGTCGAAATCCTCGCTCTGCCCACGTGGGCGAGTGCGGCGGGTCGGTAGGATGCGGCGCGAAGGGAGAAGGATGGGAGCGGTGGAGGAGGCGGGGGGGGGGGCGTCGTGCCCCCATCAAAAGTTGGCGTAATCAGCGCCAGTTGGCAACAAGGGCGCAACTCCATAAATTCGGCACGAGACGTGGGACATCGTAGTGCGCGAGGCCCAGGAAGCCCGTCTCACGGCGGCGGCTCCGCAAGAAGCAATTAAAGGCCCTAATGGCCAATAAAAATCAAAACTTGCTGTATCGGAGCGCAGGCCCACGTGCCACGCCGCGCCGCGCCGGCCTCGTGCTAGCATCGGGCACGCATCCTCTCCGGATGACAGCTGGCGGAATTCACACTCCCACCTTGTAAATCGCGACTGGCACTTCGCAGCCAATGATGAGCCTCTGCTCCATTGTAGGTGACGGGAGATGTCGTGGTCTCTGTAAAATAAATTCTTTGTGTTATCGGAATAGACTTTTATCGGGAGAGGTGGCTCAGCTCTGACCGGGAGGTCCTAGGTTCGAGACCTGATGGTGGCAGAATTTTCGGCTCTGGCTGATACATTTACTACACTTACGGGACTAACGATCTTGGCTATTGACGCGCCCGCAAATACTAGTAATCAATCTTGTCATTCGCGGCTGGCACTTCGCAGCCGACGATGGCTCACCGTATCTCTTGGAATTATGAGTCGTTCTCTGCTCGAAAAAATACTTATTGGGAGAGATGGCCCAAAGTATTCACTGATGTTACTGCAGTGCCTCTAACCGAGAAGTCCTAGATTCGAGAACCGACGGTGGCTGACGTTTCGACTTTGGCTGACACGTGCACTACACTTACGGAACTAACGACCTAGGTTGTTGACGCGCCGGCAATCACTAGTAATCAATCAATCTTGTGAATCGCGGCTGGCACTTCGCAACCGATGATGGCCCGCCGTTATCTTTAGCAACAGTGAGAATGAGTGTCGTTCTCTGCTTCATAGTGTAGGTGAGGGGGGTGCCTTGCCTCCGCAAATGTCTACGATTCTTTGAATCTCTATGCCATCGAAGCAAGCTTAAATAATATTTCTTAGACCGACAGAAATCGTGCCAAATTTCCGAACGTTCTGAATCTGTGATCCCTTATTACGTCTTTTCATTTCTATGAGAAAGTATCAGAATTGTTTATATTTTAAATTAATACATATTACTTACATAGTGTTCGGGATGTATTTATTATATAAAATCAAGGAGAAAATAGGGAAAAATAAAGATAATTTTAGTGCATGTGTTAGTGAGTAAAATTACTAGTGAAGGAAATATTATTTATCACTACTACTTTTAAATTAAAGTATATTCTTAAACTTTTCTAAAAAAAAGCAACAAATATTTTAAAAAGTATTTATTACGGTAATATTATATTTATCGGGTACCCCTGACAGAGAACAGAAATGTGTTCTTAGGAAAGAAAGTCAAGAACAATTTTGAGTTTTCTTATTTCTATTAGTTTTTATTATTTTTAGTTTCTTTGTCTAGTTTTATTTCAGACAGTTGCATATTGACCGCCTAAAATAAAACTTGACAAAGGAATCTAATTGAAACCCAAAAACATTTAGAAGATAGAGGAAGTTAGTGCATTTTCTTATTTTTCCTTCAAATTCTTGACACCGGTCTCTTTATCGTGTCTCTGGAATTTGTTTAATTGCAAAACCAATACATTTTGACTCTCTTTATCAATTTAAAACTGACATTCCGTTTACATCCTCTTTCTTTAAATCTTCGTTGCGTGTCTTTTGCGCAACTCGTTTCTTCAGTCCTTTTTTATAATGAGCGTGTATTGAAGTAATCCTCTGTAATTTGTCGTCGGCCTCGTTACGTCGCAGTCATTCGATGTCAATCTTTTGGCCACGAGCACGGCGCCGTTAATAACCGAGGTTCGCAGACGGTCGCCCATCCCAGAATCCATAGTGTCTCGAGTGGCTTAACTTTCATTACTTCAGCTCAATGACAACTGCGTGCCTCAAATGGGTTTTGAGCATGTTAATCATTGGCTGCATATATTGATCAGCAATTTTCATGCTTTGGGCATAACTGTTACTTGAAAAAGATGTTTCTTCCTTGCGAGGATCGATTTTTAAGCCTCTAAAACAATGAAAATTTTTAAATGCACAAGTTAGAGGCAGAAAACATCGGCTTCGGCAAGGCTTCGAGAATACATTCGTCACTTCTGATCAGAATGTATTATGCAACATACTCACGTATTCGTTGTAAATTTTGCAAGAATGATTCAGAAACAGAAACAAAATTAATTGCTTTCTGATATGTGGATCGTCTACTGTGCACAGAAAGTGAATAGCATATCTTCTAAGAACTTTGCAAGTTTCTGTTTCCCTAAGAAAATGGGAATTTTCTCGAATGAGCTTGTCTGTAAATCCGTTTGCAAGTGGTGCGAGTGCAGTGTTGAAACTTCGCAGCTCTCCGGCAGTTTTGGTAGTTCACAAGGTCGCGTATCTAAGCCCTAAACTACTTCCAACTAAATGGTAGAAATGAATCTTCTCTACTGCGTACTGTACACAGTATCGTGTTTGCCATTGTAATGTTTTGCTGATTTTTTTTTTATCCTTTGACCTTTCATATGTTTTATCAAAATTATTTGCATATATGTAACCACCTTGCGTCTTTATCTTTAACCACTGCAAAGCTAATTTTCATCTCACGCGTGCACGAACTCTCTCACAGAAACATTTTTCATTTTCTGTATCGCCGCTGACCTTCAAAACCACGTTTCTCAACTTGATGCAAACATTTCTGACAACTTGTTTTACCTGAATTTCGAAAACCCTTTAACAGAAGCATTTGAAAGAAGGTGATTTGTATGTATTTTATCAGAAAAAAAATCATGTTCTAAATCCTGAATAACAGAATGCTTCCAACCCCTTCACACTTTCACTTAGTTGTACATTTCGATCCCTACAAGACTTTAATCTTGTTATTGAATCTGTGATGCGAAATTTAAGAAGATTTTTATTTACAAAAGTTCATGATCGCTTATAATAAAATGTTGTTTAATTAAATTAACGTAATTTATAAATTATTTTTGGTAAAGCCTTCTTAATTCTTTTGATGTATTATAATAGTCACTATACAAAGTATTTTATTAGTAAAAATAGTTTTACAAATTATCTTATTTTTTCATGAATTGATCACTCCATTAACATCACCAAATAGTATCAATCGTATAATCACGTAACAATACAATAACTTCTAGTCATATTATCAAATGTCTTTTTAAAATTCATAGACGATATCATTTACAACTGCACGGTAAATCATTAGATGAAAAAAATGGAAATTCTTTAGCTGGTGGTAGACACAAAAGTTTAAAACTACAACGCAAACTTATAAACTGTTTTCCTGTATTTTTAATTTGAACTAAACCTCATTTTTAATTCACCTAGATCTCTTTATCCATTTTCTTCATAAAATAGAAATTGGATAGATTATGCCGGCCCTTGACAAAATGATATTATCCGCCAAGTTTCGCGTCTCGCGTGATTGTGAGGGGAGGCGGGGCGCGCAATTATCCGCTGTTTCCTTAGTTAGCATCGTTCCTGCCTTTCTTTCCGCACTAAGGAAGCACTTCGCAACTCCGAGCGGCCGCCTTAATGGCCACTTGACTTCAGCCTCCGTGACTCGCGTTGACCTCGGAAGTCCGCAGAGGAACCGCGCGCGGCGCCCGAAAAGTTTCCGAGCCGCTCTTTACTCTTTGGCGGATTCCCTGCCTCGCTCGCTCCCCCCCCCCCTCGGCCACGACTCGCTTCGCCTGCCGCGTAATTGGCGTCACATTCCCACACGTCCCGCTGTACACTTGCACAGGCCGAGTTACGTGAGGGAGGAAAATAAAAACACCCACCAGCGTGTCTGCCAGATGACGTGAATAAATATGTCATCTCAAGTTTTATTGAGATACGCCTTGTTACTGCACATCAGTTTATTTTATTTATTGCAAAATTTGATTAGTCCGCAACGATCAGCCATGTGCATTTTCAGTAATTAGGAATTTCAAACATTGGGTAATACCAAGTGTGAAGTTATGAAAATATCTGTTAAGTGCATTGAGAGCCCCGATTTTAAGAGTGTGAGTGAATATTTGTGGCTTAATGATGGAAAGACTATTAATTATGTTGGGTTATGTCTTCCACGTTGCGGAGAAAGACCTTGACAGGAAGATTCTGCGAGGAGGTCAAAACACGCCGAGAACTCGGGATAGATTTTGAAAACATTGGTTTTTGTGACACATTAAAGGGTGAGTTCAGTGGATAAATCTTAATGAAGATTATTATTGCTTACGTACGAAGGGGCTTTTATAGATGTTCTAGGTCGTTTATTTCGAAATCTACTCAGCAGTTTGTCGAAGAATTGTTGTTCTCTCAGGTCTATAGTCTTTTGAAGGTGAGAGTCTAATCAGTAAACAGATTGTTAAGTTTCAGTGAAGGCAAAACTTACTTTGTTTTGTTACAAATGACAAATAAGGAAATCTCGCGAGTTGTCGAAATTTTGATGGAATAAAAACAGTCCTGTGTCTATCAAATACAAACGCGTGTGATCTCGACAAATGCATCTGATGCAGCTGCAACACAACCCGAAAATTACTCAAAAAGCTTTCTCTAATTATTCGTGCCTATAAACTTGAAACAGCAGTTTCGCCAACCGTGTTTATCTCTTGTGAGGTGTATTGGCGTTAATATTTTACATCCGAAATAATTCGTGTCATATTTTTTAACTCTTTTTTTATCTTACTCTTATTATTATTTTTCTTCCCTTCATTTTTTTTTGCTTCCTCCACTTTTCCTCTTTTCTCATTTCCTATTTTCTCTTCTTTTTTCTTGTCTTCTTTTTTTCTTTTTTCCTTCACATTACAGCCCAATTTCAACCACTGCCAGACATCCGATCTTGATAGAACTGCCAGAATAATTGTAATTATTCCAGGATTGGCATTGTCCGACAAAGCTAACTAGCTTTAGAGCATGAACCTACGACCTTCTGTTCTACAAAGATTATGTACATACTCGCATATTATATAATGCTTTTTTTTCTAACTGTTGATTACTTGTAATGATTTCATTTCATAAATAATTAGATCATCGCATGTAAAATTGCATAGCAAATACTAGTTCGGTAGATAAATGATTTCATATCATTTTCATATTCATGAACATTGGCAGTATATTAATTATTTATATTAGCAATATTCACATCAATTAAGCTAATTGATTTGTTAAATTGGTTTGAAACACATCAGGATGATTGAGGTTTTACGTACATAAGAATTTTTAATTCCATTCATATAAATATGCATATGTATAAATGTTTAGCCTCTTTTAGCCCTCAAATTAAATTTATAGACGTACTAGACGTACTTTTGTGTTCATCTATTCACTTAAGCATAAGAGTACATCCATTAATGTAAAAACTGTTATTGTCACCAAACATTAAAAGTATTGTTGTTACTCAATGAGATTCTTGTCTAAAATACAAAAGCTTTCACATCAAATATTGTAAAATATATTACTGTATAACGAATTATCAGAAATATTTTATTCAAATCATATCTTTATTGACCTAATGGCAATTTTACTATATGTGTTTGCTGCTCGTCATCTATTTCTTATATCTTATAGAGTATGGAGGATTTTTTGAGGGTCATTTTCATATAGGCCGAATACAACTTTGGTTTAAAAATGGAAAAGCAAAGTGTCATGGCCCTGGTTACAAAATCAAATCAGGACGAAAATACCACTCCATGCCCTTTGTTGTATAGGCCAAGAAAAACCATTCATGTAAGAGTAACGCCAAGTCACAAACATAAAGTTAAAATGTGTTTTCCATTGTTCATGAATTTCACTATAAGAATAACACGGAATAGTCTCCACGAAGCCAGAAATTAGCACGAAAATTTGACCTCGTCAACTTTCCAGTTCACTCATTCGAACGTGTGGACTCTCCAGCGCTTTCTAACGGCGCTTTCTAAGTCTAACGGCCGAGTGGAGTATTACAATTCATTGCGCGATCATTCAATTTCAACAAATGAAAGCTACCGACTGAAGGGGGCTATCACTAGCTTCTACCACAACCTATCGCTGACGTGGACTTTAAATAACAAAACAAAAAAGTCGCCTCAACTTCTAGGTTATTAGCGCCAATTATTGCGTGTAATGGTATGGTAACTGTGAAGATAACACGATATGATGATGATGATGATGATGGGGTGTGAAAGGACGAACACAATGCAACCATGCCCGAGGCGGGACTCGAACCCGCGATCCTTCGGTCCGAGATCGCTTCGGCACTACTACTGCCTGAGCGGTCTCGGCCATCCGGACCGGGTCGTGGACCGTTGTGTGTTGGGTGCTGCAGTGGAGGAGCTGCAGTGCCTGGCCACGTGGAAGGAGGGCTCGTCGCGCTACCTGGTGGGTAAAGTTCACCACAGCCACGCCACCAGCAACGAGGACCGCTACCGCTGCTTCGTCTACGAGAAGTCCAACGTGGTCAGCCTGGGCGGTGACGGCATCATCGGAGGCGGTGGCCCCGGGGTGAGTACTGCTACGTTACGTAGGGCGATTTTTTTTTAACTGTGTGCTCGTGGCTCGCTTTTGATCAGCGTGTTTGCTTGCCACTACGCGGCCCCGGGTTCAATATCCGGTCGAGCCAAGACGTGATAGTGTGCGTTTTCCTTGCAATGTCCCAGTATATGGTGTTGTGTGACGATGAGAAAATTCACTTCTCGGGTTGAGAAGAGCGGAATTAGGCCTGGTGATGTATACGTGCTAACAACACGTACCATGGCAACACATGGCCGCGAGGCAGGGACATTGCCGGTAGCCATGAGCCCGTTCACGAGCTGTCGCGCCAAGTACATGCATACACTTTTTTTAACTGTGCACCTGAACCCTGTATTCTCTTTGCAATATCAATGCCTTTAATCTCTTTCTCGGCGTGCCGCTAGATGTCGCATGATCGCGACTGTATGAACCACTACTTGATGCGGTCGCGACACCTAGCGGTACGACCGAGAAAGAAGCGAAATGCAGTGATATAATGCCAATGTGAAGGTAGGGCTCGCACTGTAAATGGATGTACAACTGCAATACTTGGGAGTGCTAAAAAACGTGACGATCGTTGCGAGGTTTTCGGTGTTCAATACAAACTCTTCCAACCGAGACAAACTCTAAGCTCCCCACCGGTCACTCGACATATATGATAGGGTCGTAACGCATGTAACGTGCGAGTAACGTGCGTGTATGCATGTGTCAGTGTGTGCTCATGTATGTGTGTGCGTGCACGAGCGTGTAACTGGGGAGGAAGAGTCAAGAATAGAGAAGACATCCCACGTGGTCCGTATCCAGTTTGTTTGTATATGAGTGTAGCCGACCCTTATCATGCCCCTCGAGACCGTGGTTAAATTCAACTCAGCTATAAAGCTAGTGGTAACAATCTGCCACCACTGTGAGTCGAACATCTCGGCCAAGAAGGCTTCAGAAGCAACGGATGTTGTCACCTGTGTAACCCCTTCTTCTTATTTACTACGCTGTCCGAGTGACGCCGCGTCCATGGCGAAGGTGCCGACGTTTCGGTCGCCATTCTGCGACCTTCCTCAGGGCGTAATGCCAACGGCAGAAAGGTGACCGAAATGTCGGCACCTTCGCCATGGATGCGGCGTCACCCGGACAGCCTAGTAAATACTGAGTCCGGCCGCGGACGCCTACGCCCCCCCTTCTTCTTACCTCCCAATAAACCAGTAGTGGAAATGAATGTGTCCGCGTGGTGTGGCAGCCCGGCGGCGGGAGCAGCGCGGCGCTGAGCAGCGCCGCGGGGGCGGTGGGCGGCGTCAACGGCAACGGCGGCGGCGGCAACGGCGGCGCGGGCGGCGGCGGCCTGGGCAACGGGGCGTTGGGCGGCGGCGGCGGCGGCGGCTTCTTCCACGCGGGCGGCGCGGGCGCCAACGGCCTCCTGCCCGGCGCGCTGCCCGACTTCCGCGTGGCGCAGTCTGGCGACGCCACCTGCAACGGGCTCTTCTCGCCCAACGAGGGCTCCCGCACCATGACCCTCCGCAAAGGTAGGCGCGCGCGCCGCGGCGCACGAAGGGCTCGGGAGCGGAGGTGGAAATTTGTTGTCTCGAAGGGCTAATGTTTGTCGGGGTCGGAATCTTTATGTACCCGTAAGCGTTCCGCGGCTCGAGGTCATAAGTTCTTGGCTGCCCGGGTGACGCCGCGTCTTTGGCTGAAAGACCGACGTTTCGTCTGTCAGGTTATATCAGGGCTCGTGAGCGATGTCAGAATTGGTCTGACTGCAAGGGAAAGTGTTTGTCGGGGTCGGAATCTTTATGTACACGTAACCGTTCCGCGGCTCGAGGTCATGACTTGTTCGCTGTGCGGCTGACGCACTCGGTCTGGTTGACTGAGTAACCGACATTTCGCCTGTCATGTCGCATCAAATGGTTAGAAAGAATTGATGACTTCTTGGCTGTCCGGGTGACACCGCGTCGTTGGCTGAGAGACCAACGTTTTGCCTGTTATGTCGTTCCTCCTCTCTACCCAGAAGAAGTCTATGAAATGACAAGCGAAACGTCGGCCTCTCAGCCAACGACGCGGCGTCACCGGGACAGCCAAGAAGTCATCGGAATCTTTATGCCCAGAATGACTGTGTGGTGCATTATTATTGCTTTGCGATCTTGGCAACAATTGCAAGGTTTGAACAGTGTTGGACACTTTTGAAAATACGTCTATACTACATTATGTATGAATAACAGGCCATTATTTGTTATACAATATTGAATTTGAGAGAAAATATTCTTAACAAGATACAGATCAGTTTGGATTAGATAAGAAACATCCCTTTCAGAAGCGTAAAACGAGTAATTAAGTATATAGTCATAAACTTTTCGAAAGTAGTTGGAAACACACATAAACAATTTGATATTCTCAATTGTATGTAGGAAGTTGTTATGGGCTCTGAACTTATTCAAAATAAGCCGACATTAAATTAACATGTCTAATAGAAATAAAGATACCTACGAATTGACTTGTGTTCATTTTAGATCAAGGAGAATAAATAGAGGTTACTGGTTCTTATCAGATTGGCTTATTAGAATTTACTGACCTTCATGAACTAATTAAAAAGCTAATGGGACATGCAAATGAATGAAATAGACGCAGGAATAGGTTTACAAATAGCAATAAATTCATAAAAACAGGAATTAACAGAAATAAAATCCAAAGCTGGGATCTAACATCTCCTCATTGTTGAAAATGTTAAATTATTTAATTTAACATTAAAATATTTGTCCTTCCACTGACACCCAATTAATTTAGGCCAGTTAAAGTTCATTAACATACTTCACCGACGCTGAGAATCAACTATTTGTTATTTTACTCAGATTCTTTTGTATTGCCAGTAGAAAATAGACAAAGTTTTTATGTTAGTAATAAACACAAAAGCCCTTCGTTCTCCAGACCGCACAAGTTCGCGTAAAAAAGGAAACCTCGTTTTGTATCCAACGCACCGCGTCTGCTTTGGATGACGGACGCCGCGTCGGGAGTTAATATAAAGCGGGTTTTAAAATAAATAAGACGGGCGAAGAGTTGCAAACTTTCTTTTTACGTATCTGCCGCGTCTTCCTGCCTCGAGCGCCTTAATGAAGATCGTCTTCTGTCCCTCCTCCCACTTCTGCTCTCTGCGATCCCCTCGCATTCCTCATTGCGCCAGTTCATTCACTCCCACTCCCGTGTCCGCCCCCG